CAACATACCAATTTGTTTTGTTGAAAAATCGATATATTTTAGCTCTACCATTTTTTGCACAATTGTCAATAATTCACGCGATTTTGCGATTCCGAAAAATTTCACAATCTTTCTAATTCTCATGAGATATTGAGATTTTTTCACACTGCAACCAGGGATTCCTCCTACCTTGCTTAAATCTGTTTATCTTGTTTGTGTGTATAGTACGTCAGAAAATCTCAATACCCTATGGTCTACCAGCCTGGTGCAACTATTTTCGAAATAAAAAAATCTTTCCCCATAGTTTTCGTTATATAATCGCATTTTGATGTACTACATATTCCAACAAATGTGTATGAAGGTCGCACTTATGTACCTTGAAGCGTTACTTATAATGTTTACATCACAAATTGCTCAAAAGTTATTAAAATCTTGTTCCCGAAGCAGTTTACAAGTATTCTAGGCGGAAAAGCAAAATTTTTTATATGGTTCCTTTTAAAGGCATCCAATGCAATTTCAGTGTGACAAAAATTCTGAATGAAAAAAATCTGTTTCCTATTATTCCTTGGAACATTTTCATCATCATATACATACTTGAAGTGTTTGAAATAGCTCGAAAATATTAGCAACATGAGGCGTCTCTTTATTTTTGGGTACCACCCTTAAATAGCTACATCCAGCGTTAGCAACTATACCAAAATATCCTAATGTGTCATTTATTATTAAAAAGGGATCAGTTTTGGCAAGGCCTTAATTCCTTGATAGCCTTCGTTTAGGTGCATATAATATTAAACAAAAGCTTAACTAGCACGACATGTAGCGCGCGCGTGTGTGTGTGTGTGTGTGTGTGTGTGTGTGTGTGTGTGTGTGTGTGTGTGTGTGTGTGTGTGTGTGTGTGTGTGTGTGTGTGTGTGTGTGTGTGTGTGTAGACACCATCAAGAAGATGCCAAATCGGGACTAACAATGTGAAACACGAATTTTCAACATATCGCTTCATTTGCATACATACAGAGGGAAGGTCTATCTCCTCCTAATACTTCGCCAATGCCAAGGCCAGTCGGGTGCATCACCGGTCAGGAGCTCCTTTCTAAGCACTTAATTCACAGTGACATCTGTTTTTTTTTTGTTATGAGGATGAACACGACCGAGTCTGGAAACGCCACACCCAGACCTACTCATTACCACCAGCCAACCATGACCAAATCTCCCGTCTACACCCGAATGTTTGAAACATTTTGAAATCATGCCGAGTTTACGGTGTTTGTGTTCAGTGTATGATTATCAGGAATCTTGTACGGAGTGCACTGTGTACGTGTGTTTAGTCACCTAAGTATATTATTGAATAAAGCAACGGCGATCTCAACAAAAACTGATGACCTATCGCCCATGCTATGTGTGACAGGGGCGTAAGTTACATCTGTATCTGTATCAGTATAACCGACCTTCGGTGTAACACACCAGCTTTGCAGGCACGCGGCACGGCGACAGCTAGCTATATCACACCGAACGACTTGTTACACTCAATCTTTGCTCATTCAATTGCAGGAGTTGTTTAAAGCTTTCTAGTGATGATGCCCCAACTGTGCTTGGTGGCAACGAGTTCCATTCTACGATAGTTCTGGGGAAATACGAGTTTTTGAACACCTCTGTCAATTCTTGGTTGATAATTATGATATTTGAAGGGTTGACTGTTTCTTGTTCTTTTCTGGGCTGGTATCATGCACGTACTTAGTGGTTGGTACGTCCACCAGTTTATATAATGTAACAGACTTTTCTATGCATGAAAAGTCGAATAGCACTCTTATAAATACATGGACCATACTGCATACAGTATACGTCAACGTGAACTTCAATGTTGATCCACAACCTTTTGCTGCCTAGCGACAAACCGCGACCTTTAAAAGCATTTTCTAAGTACGTGAGCGGTTTTAGTTTCACCTACAAAGGGCTTGTGTCACACACCTAATGTTATAATATTGTTAGCCTGATTAAATCGCTAACGGTTCCCTGGCCTTAGAGAGTGTGGCGCACAAACTCTGCGTTAAAGCCGCGGATCCGGACGGCAGAGTTTGCGTTATCAGAGTTATCAACCAAGCATTGAGGTATTCAAAAACTCGTATTTCCCCAGAACTATCGTAGACTGCCACCAAGCACGGACATCATCACTAGAAAGCTTGAAACAGCCCCTGCAATTAAATGTGCAAAGATTGAGTGTAACAAGTCGTTCGGTGTGATATAGCTAGCTGCCGCCGCGCCGCTGCCTGCGAAGCGGATAGAGCCAGACCAGAGCCTCGGAGGACGTGATCTTTTTTTTTTGAGAACAGACGAAAATCAATGCGTAAAATTAAATCGGTGTGGCCCTAGTGACCGAGTAACGGGCTTAACAAGCTGTGTACAAGAGCTCTCTCACAATCATTACGAAAGGTCTCATGTCGACAGCTTGCTATTTAGAGACAAACCCTGTACTTGAGACAGCTTGTGAACAAACAAAGCCACATTCCTGTGCTTAGGCCACAGCGAGAAAGGCCTTGTTCATATGAAACCACCCGAAACGCGATTCGGGTAACTCGCATTCCTCATATTGTTGTTACTCTAGTAGTTTGCCATACATTGTACCATGTGCAATTGTCGTGCAATAAAGTTCTATACATCTGGTCCATGTGCCATACATTCCTTTCAAACCGTGCCCGATAACGATTCTCCGAAACTGCATTCATCGTTGTTTGGTGAAAACACGCCGGGTAGCGTGTTATTAATGTCAGAGCGGAACTCGCTGTCACCAAGTACAGTAGGGGCATTGTCATTAGATAGCTTTAAACAATGTTTAGAGTTAGAAGTTCAAGGGTTAGGTGGTACAAGTCGATCGGTGTAATATAGCCAGCTGCCGCCGCGCCGCGTGCCTGCGAAGCTGGTGTGTTACGCCGAAAGGCGGTTATACCGGCTATACAGATACAAGTTTGCTAGATCCCTCATGGTCTCTGAACAGAGAGACGTTTACGAAAAATTCACATGTCTTCACCACAGACTGTCGGAGGGCAACAAAATTCTCTTAAAAATAACGCTTGCGACGTTATCCATAAAATTACTTGTTGTATGTGGCTTTATAATGAATGAATGGAAACCTTTATTGCACATTTCTGCCACACTTGGCTAAGTACAGGTCACAACAAAACAAGATGAATGGACATGGATAACAGATACAAAATTAACTAACTATCGTTATATAAATTCAACTTCTCCTCGCTTTTCAGTTATTGCAGAAATAAACGTACCGATCTGTTTTTCGATGGGTGGTTTGTCTAGTCGCATAAGGAATTTGAATTTTTCAACAGTACTTAAGTGCATGAAATAGGGGAATACAGTAGGTGTTGTACAAACATATACAGTTCATTTCTCTCTTTGCTATACAGTTCACATTCTGTTACAAAATGGCGTTCGTCTTCTATTTTATAAGGACTTAAACAAAGGGCTAACACAATACAGTCGGCAGGTGGGTTAGCCATCTGTGACCATCTCTCAGTCAATTAAACAGGCAGCGTGTTCTAACCATTGTGACCACAAGGTCACAATGGTTACATTCGCGTGATTACCTGCTACACTGTTTCAGCTACAACCACCAAACACATCAGTACAACACAAGACAAGCGAATCTACTGCGTAAACCCAAATACACAAACAGAACTGGACAGAGAACATTTAAGTACAGAGCAGCTTCAGCCTATAACTCACTTAACACGGTAACTAAACATGCATCAACAATAAATGCTTTTAAAGTAGCGCTAAGAACATACGACCTCTGACCCTGACCTCACGGACAACCGACTGTCATTATTTGACAATACGACTATGCCTAACGATTTTGACTATTTGTTTTGGTTGTTCCGTTGTGTTTGTATGATTGATTATTTGTACCCTCTGTTTATATTATTTATTGTCACTTGCTACGTTTGATCATTTGATTAATCTGTTTTATTTTGTTTAATTTTTATTGTATTCCATGTTGTCCAATGTGTATGTTATGTTGGGCTACCTTGGAAATCAGTCTTTCAGAGACTGAAGGTACCACCCAACTGTCTTTTAAGATCAATAAAATAAAATAAAAATAAATCACGAAAATTGGATCGTACTTAATGGTTGAATAGCTACGTATACCGGGCCTATATTTCGTACTTTGTCCCTACATGAAAAATTGAGGTATTGTCATGTGTTGTTTTATCAGTTTTCTACTATATACAAGTAAAGTTCGAACTGGCCCTGACAACTAACAAAGTAACACTTGACAATATTTAACCCACAAAAAAGAAGCCCAACATAGAAGTCTGTTTTGGAGACTACAGCTTCAAGGAATCCAATGCAATTTCAGACATTTACTGACATTTCGTAGAACATTTTTGTCATTACTAGTACTTCATACTTGAAGCGTAAAAAAAATACCCCCCCCAACCCAAAAC